TGGAAAGGCGGATATACAGAGAGGAGAGACAGAGAGGAAGATCTTCCGTCCGATGATTCACTCCCCAAGTGAGCGCAACGGGCCGATGCTATGCCGATCCGAAGCCAGGAGCCTCTTCCGGGTCTCCCACACGGGTGCAGGTTCCCAAAGCGTTGGGCCGTCCTCGACTGCTTTCCCAGGCCACAGGCAGGGAGCTGGAAGGGAAGCGGGGCTGCCGGGATTAGAACCGGCGCCCATATGGGATCCCGGGCGTGCAAGGCGAGGACCTTTAACCACTTGCGCCACCGCGCCGGGCCCGCATCTTTTTTTAATATAAGATTTCTTTATTTTTCTCTATTTTCTTTGGAAAGTCAGATTTACAGAGAGGAAAGTCTTTCATCCGCTGATTCATTCCCCAAGTGACTGCAATAGCCAGAGCTGAACTGATCCAAGGCCAGGAGCCAGGATCTTCTTTAGGGTCTCCACACGTGTGCAAGGTCCCAAGGCTTTGAGCCATGCTTGACTGCTTTTCCAGGCCACAAGCAGGGAGCTGGGAGGGAAGTGGGGCAGCTGAGACACAAGGCTGGCCACCCCTATGGGATCCTAGGCACAATCAAGGTGAAGACTTTAGCCACTAGGCTACCATGCCAGGCTCCACTTTTGTATAGACTTATTTATTTATTTATTTATTTATTTATTTTTAGAAAAGCAAAATTATAGAGAAAAGGAGAAACTAGATGGCAGGTGAAGCAGACGCGACATGAACCTGCACCCATATGGGATCCCAGTGCTTGTAAGAGGAGGATTTAGCCACTAGGCCAATATTGCAGGGCCCTCGCTTTCACTTTTAAAAGTACAATTTTATATCATCCTCAGTGGACTCTTCTCTCTTCTCTTTGTAACTTGAAAATTTTCATTGCCCTTCATTGTTTTTTCTGAGGAAAACTTACCTAATATTTGTGTCTACTTCGTTTTGTGTTGAATGGCCTTTTCTCTTGCCAGCTAGACTTTATTTATTTTCAGCAGATCGATTAGCCTTTTGTACCTAGTTTTAGCTTTTTTTTTAGCCTTATCCTATTTGAATCTGCTGAAGTCTTGAATTTGGATGTGTTTTTTTTATTTTTTAAGTCACCCTATTTTTAACTTGAATTGTTCAGACCAACTTTACCCCCTAAACAGTATAGTATAAATCAGTTTCTTGAAAAGCAGCCATTAAGTAGTGAATTGTGACTCCAAAATAAGAAATATTAGAATGGATCTCACTAGAGATACTGTGTGAAATTTTTAACAAGTACACAATGAGTTTTGAGGATGAATGATAATGTAAAATGTTTCCTTAAGGCCCAAGTACAGTGCCTGTTACACTGGGGCACTTAATTAATTAATTAACTAATTAATTTCTTCCTTCCTTTTCTTTATTGCTTTATTTATTTCTTTCAAGATTTATTTTTATTGCAAAGTCAGATATATAGAGAGGAGTATCTTCTGTCCAATGTTTCACTCCCCAAGTGACCACAATTGCCGGTGCTCTGCCAATCTTGATGTCAGGAGCCAGGAACTTCTGCAGGTCTCCCATGCCCATGCAGGGTCCCAAAGCTCTGGGCCGTCCTCGACTGCTTTCCCAGGCCACAAGCAGGGAGCTGGATGGGAAGTGGAGCTGCTGGGATTAGAACCGGCACCCATATGGGATTCCAGCAAGGTCTTTAGTCACTAGGCCACCGTACTGGGCCCTCTTTTTTGCCTGCAACAGCCAGAGCTAGGCCAGGCCAACTTTATGATCCACAACTCCAAGTCTTTTCCGTGAGTAGTAGGGCTCATGCACTTGTGCCATCACCATCTTCTTTCCCTGCATATGCATGGGAGATGTGGAAGAAACTCCTGGCTCCTGGCTATGGATCAGCCGAGCTCAGCTCTGGCCATTGCAGATACTTGGATTGTAAATCATCGGACAGAAGATCTTTCTCTTCAGCTCTCCTCGCTGTATATCTGACTTTCAAATAAATAAATAAAAAGGTAGGTCTGTAATAAATAAGATAAAATAAAATTATTTCACTATCCACAAAACTTTTTAATGGAATGTATTCCACCCCTAATATATATATATTCTTGCTCTAAGCATGAATACTTTATACTCTGTGACAACAAATAGATTAATGATGTTTCTGAGACACGAATGAAGATGAATTTTGCTATACCTGTGTTTGCAGAATCTTTTCTTAATAAAGAATTTAGGATTATTTGTGTTATCATTTACCACTCTTAATGCTAATTGAGATTGGCTGTGTTTTAGTCCATCAACTAATTATGAAGTCTTTGTAGGGAATATTCTGAGGCATTAGAAATGAAGAAGATATGTAATCTCATGTATATACACTGAGGATTAGTTGATGTTATAGAATGCTTAATTTTATCATATTATCACAGTGTTGTAGACACTTTGATTCTAATGAAATGGAATCTCTAATCTGTATTTGAAATATGAATTATCTTAAATATTTAATGTTCATCTAGTTAACACAAATACAAATTTGACATTGAAGGGAGATCCTTTTTATTTTTAAACCCTGTCTAATACATTTTGGATGTTACATCAACAAGTAATAATAGTTACTACAGAATAATGCAAATAGTGCAAATTTATATAAACATCTTCATATCTGCTTTAGTGAATTACAATTGTTGAAGGAAATTATGTATACCAAAACAACTGCACAGGAAATCTCTGACATTTGCAGCATTGAATGGATTTTTGTGTATGTGTTTATATGTATAGCATGCGGTCCTTGGATGGGTGTCCCTTTGATTAAGTCCAGCCAAAAAAGTAGTGGTTGGAACAACCATGTAAGTCACACACACCTCTGCTTAACATTAAGGGGCATCATTTACTGCTGCGTGAGAGTTGTACTTTTTTGTACAGATTGATGTGAAAATTCAGTAGACTGTTGTATTCAGTAATTCAAATAACTTAGTTTATTAATGTAGTTATAGATGTGGATATATAAAGCTTTATCTTCAGTTTTCTCCTTACATGAGGATGCTTCCTTATAAGGATAAAAACTTTGCTACTTGTATACTCATGAACTCACATCTTTGAAACATTGATTTATTTATTTGAAAGTCAAAGTTATGGGAAGAAGCAGACACAGAGAGAGCTGTCTTCCATGAACTGGTTCACTTCCCACATGGCTGCAAAGCCAGGAGGTTCACCTGGGTCTCCATGTGGATGACAGGAGCACACACATTTAGACCACTGTCCAGGCCATCAGCAGGGAGTTGAATCTGAAGTGGAGCAGTCACTGGCAAGTGCTGCTTGCCAGCTGGTACCATCCCTCTGTTCCCTTCTCCCCGCTGCAAGTATCTGCACCAAGTTTTGCATACCGTTGACACGGGCTTCCTCCCTGCTGCCAGTACTCAGTGATCTCCAGGGGCTGTGCAGCTGTCGCCCAAGCAGTCTGTTCCTCCCCTGTTACGGATGCTCATGATCTTGTTCTTGTAAAGGAAGTTTGTTTACACTTGCTTGAAGTAAGGCAACTCTTCAAGACTGACTCCATTAAAAAAAATAGGGGACATTAACCTAAAGAGTCCAAGAGGAAAATTACGACGAGTTACAATAAACGAACTTAGTTATGTTTGTTTTGTTTTGCAAAGTATCTTTTACCATAAAGAAAAAAGTAACCTCTCCACAGGACCATGTATATCTGCAGTTTACCTAGGCAGTAACTACCGTGTAAAGATATACGAAGATATAAAAATGGTTTTTCATATCAAGAACTTGTCTAAAAATCATGGCTCCCCTTTTATTGGCTATTGCATTATGAAGGCTTTAGAATAGGACTATAAACTGATACTGGAGCAAATATAGGATTTGAATTTTGACATTTATCAGAGGTTATCCAGAAGAGCAAAGTCTGGCGTGAGATGTACATTGGCTACAAATTGTGGCTTTTCTTTCAGGCCCCATTGAGGTTCTCGAGTAACTTGCTACACATTCTACTTGAAAGAATGGGAATCTGTATGGATTACAATCCAGAAAAGATGATATTGGGCTGTTTTCTACTTTCAAAATAGACTGTAAGCCATGTACCAATAAAATAACTTTATGAAGGTGGCACCAGAAGGAGCAAAGAGCTGGAACAGGTTTTCATTGAACAAAGAATAGTATTGCTTCAGAAGAAAAATTGAAAAAAAAAAAAAATCAGAGCCTAAGTAGTTTGCTTATGTTTTTAAATGAGTGGGAGGAGTGAAAAACTGATTGATAATATAGGTGTGTCATGATGGAGAAAAGATGTTAGCTTTAGGTTTTAAAATGAGATTATTTTGAATAAAAAGGAATGCACATAACTGGGAAAGCTTCCAGGTGTAAAAGCCTGACAAAACATTATTTTGATCAAGAAACACTTCTAAGTTTGTAAATGAAAAATATGTCTTAACTTAAAACTCTTAGTGCCTTTTTTTATTTAAAAATATATTTATTTTTCTTGGAAAGGCAGATTTACAGAGGGAAAGATCTTCCATCTGCTGGCTGCTGAGCCAATCCAAAGACAGAGGCCAGGCACTTCTGGATCTCCCTTGGGGACACAGGATCCTAAAGCATTGGCCATCCTCCACTGCTTTCCCAGGCCACAGGCAGAGAGAGCTGAATGGGAAGTAGAGCAGCCAGGCCGTGAACCAGTGCCAGTATGGAATACAGGTGCTTGAAGGTGGAGGATTAGCCATCACGCAAGCCCCCAAACTCTTCGTATCCTAAGATGAATACTTGAGTCCCTCCTCCTCAAAATCTGATATAAATGACCAAGTTTTAATCTTAACCATTTCTCAATCTGTTTTACATAAAGAGAACTGGACGTCATTATAGATACTCAGATCATGTTAACAAAGGAAAGAGCCTTGGCAGTGTTTAACAGTCTGGTAGTAAATATCCAGGAAATGATTGTCATTAACAAGCTGATTAATATTGTTGCAAGTATATAATTATAGTTTGTAGCACTGTGAAATGTTTATGGTTTGTTTTCTTTTTGTAGAACACAAAGTCATTATAGTGGGACTGGATAATGCAGGGAAAACCACCATTCTTTATCAATTGTAAGTATGGGTATTTGTTCAACAGTTTTTACTGTTTTACTTATTGAGACTTTGTAATATAATATTCCTAGTTTTATAATATGATAGGAAAATTGAAACATTCCTTTTTTTTGTTTCCAGATGCAAAATTTCAAAAAGCAAGGAAGATAAACTACAATATGTTTGCTTAAGTCTTCACAAACATTCATTGCAGTTGAACAAAAAAATGAATATTAAAGTAAAATAAATAATGCACATGCTACTTTGCAGAGGGAGGCAGTAGAGTGGATTTCATTTAAATCCTGGCACACTCAGTTTCATGTCTAGGAAACTGCTGTTTCCTGATAGCTTCGGAGTTGTTTAAGAGCCAAAGGCATTCAGTCCAAATAAATAGCAATCATCCTGAAAGTACTGAAAGACATAAAACTTACAGAGAAATGTTAATACTTATCCTTGAGGAAATGTTTAACAGTTCATCAATCCACTTATCGGAGTATCTCCCTTTACCTGTCATTGCCAATGAAACGATCTTTGCTAAACAATGGAAGTAAATCCATATCCAAGGATAGTTATGAAATACATCCTACCATTGTGAGCCCCTTACTTGGTCCCACCTCTCCTTGGTTAAAGGCACACGCAGCCCACCATAATATACATACCCAATGCTTAATGTATTTTTCAGCCACTTTTACTGAATGTATGATGTTTCAAAATTGAAGATTTACTTATTTTCTAAAAGCATTTTCATTTATTTGTCATATATTTTTATGTGACTTAGTCTTCAGCAAAAATTTAAGCTTTTCAGAAACTAATTATCTTCATTAAATATTCTGCACATAAAAACCAAAAAGAGTCGCAAGCCTCATCTAACATAACACTAGCATACTATTAGAACTACGTGTTTATTGAGTATAGTAATTAATGTAACTTAATGATATGATTGTAAAAACATCAATATTCTAAACATGCTTGTTGTTCTTTTTAAGTGACATTTCCATCTCTTCAATGCCTCATCTTTTTTTGTTTCGGTTACTAATTCTGAATTAATTTTAATAATTGAGCTAAGTCTCAGTTTTCTTCCATAGACAGTCTTCAAAATCATGGATCATCTACTATCCAGTGCCTGCCAGCCTGCAAATATTAGTGGCACTGTCACCCCCAGTTGTCATGTGATAACAAAGCATGCAGTTGGGATTTTGAGCTATAGAAATGCAAGTCCAAACCACTGTGTTCCTTTCTGACTAGACCAAACCTTCAGTTCATTTAATGGATTCCAAAAAAAATTTTTTTTCCTTCAGCAATTATAATTTATCTAAATATTTATTTTCACAAATGTTCTCCTACTTTCTATTTTCACATAAAGGATTGCTATCACTAGTGCTTATAAATAAGGATGATTAATCTATCTAAAATTACAGAGGTAATCAGATTTACAGAGGAATTTTTTGATATCTGTCTTTTAACAGCTTGATGAATGAAGTGGTTCATACTTCCCCAACCATAGGAAGCAATGTTGAAGAAATAGTTGTGAAAAACACTCATTTTCTTATGTGGGATATTGGTGGTCAGGAGTCCCTGCGGTCATCCTGGAACACATACTACTCAAACACAGAGGTATGCTAAGATGACTTTTGAATTTTAATAATCATAATTAAAAAAAAAAAAACCTAAAGAGCAAATACAGAAGTGGACATGTTATCCAGAGGCATGTTGGCAGTTGCTTTTCACTTAAGTTCCTTTCAGTGACAAAGTCAGATTGTCAGAAGAAAATAAGCAAGTATAGAGAGAATTGGGAACAGTTATTAGTGTAGTGCCTACTGTTGACCGGGCTCTCTGTTTATCTTCATAATTCTGTTTCCAGACATTGGAGAATTTTGACATTGGGAGAAATTAGATCCAGTTCTCCAAAATCTTGCAACTTGTTAAAATCCTGATTAGAGGAGGATAACATACTTTAAGCATAATTTAATAAAAGTTTTTCAGAAAGCACGTGTTGAGCATTTAAAGTTGTGAGGAAACTTTAATTTTTATTTTTTTAAAGATTAATTTTAATTATTTTTTATTGGAAAGGCGGATATACAGAGAGGAGAGACAGAGAGGAAGATCTTCCGTCCGATGATTCACTCCCCAAGTGAGCGCAATGGCCGATACTATGCCGGTCCGAAGCCAGGAGCCTCTTCCGGGTCTCCCACGTGGGTGCAGGGTCCCAAAGCTTTGGGCCATCCTCGACTGCTTTCCCGAGCCACAGGCAGGGAGCTGGAAGGGAAGTGGGGCTGCCGGGGATAGAACCGGTGCCCATATGGGATCCCGGGAGTGCAAGGTGAGGACCTTAAGCACTTGAGCCACCGCGCTGGGCCCAACTTTAATTTTTATAAAGTTGGGTTGCAGACCATCTTCTAGAAGGCCATGTGAGATATTTTGTGAGTTCAGAGCCAACCTGCACAAACAAATCTGTATTATCTTCTAGTTTCGCTTTTATTTCTCTTTTAACACCATGAAGTACTGTTCAAAATTTTTAAAGTACAGATAGTATCCATGTAGCTTTTTTTTTCTTTTTTTTACAAAGAGGTATATTTCACCAATAATCTCCTCTAAATTGAAACATATTTTTTTTATTTTTCCTGATAAGTTTTTTTGGGTTCAGGGATTTGGGGATGGCTCCATAGCATAGTAGGGTAAGCCTCAGCCTGAGGTGCCAACATCCCACATGGGCACTGATTCAAGTTCTGGCTGTAACACTTCTGATTCAGCTCCCTGCTAGTGTGCCAGGGAAAGCAGCGGAAGATGGCCCAGGTCTTTGGATCCCTTCATCCACATGGGCAATCCAAAGGATACTCTAGGACCCTGGCTTTGGATCAGCCTAGCACTGGACACTGTAGGCATTTGGAGAGTGAACAAGCAATTGTAAAATTTTTTTCTCTGTCTTTCCTTTTTCTGTAAATCTGAGTCTCAAATAAGAATAATTAATTTTTTTTAAAAAATGTTTTAATTGTAGTTGAGGGAGGCCAGAGCTGAGGCATAGGAAGTAAAGCTGTGGATTACAATACCATCATCCCAGATGGACTCCGTTCAAGTCCCAGCTGCTCCATTTCCAATCCAGTTCCTTGCTAATACATCTGGGAGAGTAGCAGAGGATATTCTAAGTATGTGAACCTGTATACCCAGGTGGAAGACCTGGATAAAGCTCTTGGCTCCTGACTCATGCCTTTAGTTGGGCCTTGCCCTGGCTCTTGCAGCTATTTGGGGAGTGAAACCAGTAAATTGAAAATCTCTTTTCTGTGCTTGTCTCTGTAGCTCTGTCTTTCAGATAAATAAAGTCCTGAAAAAGAAAAAATTGGAGTTAGGGAAAGGTGAGGAAAGAGGTGTAATGAAAGGAAATTTTGCTCTGCATGATTGCCTATTATAAAAACTATATATTTTTGGGCCCAATGCAGTAGCCTAGTGGCTAAAGTCCCCACCTTGCATGTACCCGGATCCCATATGGGCGCTGGTAGGTATCCCACTGTTCCACTTCCCATCCAGCTCCCTGCTTGTGGCCTGGGAAAGCAGTTGAGGATGACCCAAAGCCTTGGGACCTTGCAGTGGGAAATCCGGAAGAAGCTCCAGGCTCCTGGCTTTGGATTGGTTCAGCTCTGGCTGTTGTGGCTACCTGGGGAGAGTACCAGCAGATGGAAGATCTTTCTGTCTGTCTCTTCAAATCTGCCTTTCCAATTGAAAAAAAAATTAAAAAAAATTTTTTTTTCTAGATTGAGATTGTAACATAATACATATATGTGTTAAGATTTATTTTGATTATTTGAAAGGCAGTGGCACAGAGCAGGCAGAGGAGAGAGGGGTTTCTTCTACCTGTCATTCACTCACCACGTGACTTAACCATAATGGCCTGACAGATTTGTCCAGTACTTGCTCCTGGCTCTCTTTCTTTGTCATGTGCATTTCTGTGTGTGTGAGAGAGATTTATTTTATTTATTTCAAAGGCAGAGTTATGAGAAAGAGCTCTTTCATCCCCTAGTTCACTCCCCAAAATGTTACAGTGCCCAGGACTGGCTTAGGCTAGAACTCCAGCCAGGTCTCCCACATGGGTGTCAGGGGCACAGGTTCTTGAGTCAGCTTCTGCGTTCCCAGGTGCCTTCACAGAGAGCTGGATGGGAAGTAGAGCAGCCAGAATTCAAGCCAGGGCTCCTACATATGATGTCAGCATTGCAGATACAGACGGGGCCTTAACCTGCTGTTCCATAACAGAAGCCCCTATGTGTATGTTCCAGTGCAGTGTGTAAATAGGAAACCAGGATGGCACAGCAGAGATCTTCAGCACTTGTAGTTTTTTCATTTAAGAGAGTAAGCAAAAATTTTATCAGAAATTAGCTTACTGTATACATTTATATCCTAAACATTCTCAATCTAGGATATGTTATAAAGTCATAGAAGAACAGCACTTTAGGATATTACTGCAGCTGTGAAAAGAGCGATTGTCATTGGTAAATTGGTTCAAGTAGATTATAGCTAGCCCGTGTGTAGTTAAGGGATTTGAAAGTGGAATGTCTGAAACTCGTGAAAGGCTTAGTTTCATGTGGGTACAGAAAGGGATGTGATTACTGATGCCTTTTGCATGAAATGTTCAAGAATATCAAAATTATGACACAGAGCAAAGATCTTTATTGCAGTATGCCATTCAAACACAGCATTAGCAATTTCAGGTAAAGATCTGTTTTATGTGTTTTAATAGTCACTTTGTTCTTCCTTGTCATTTTACCTTATGAAAGTTTTTACACTGAAGAATCACTCAAAGCAGCAGCTGCTGGCACCTTCGTTTGTGTCTCCAATACCTTCCCATAAAAAATTGCCCATTCTTTCTTTGCTGTATTTCTCTTTCTAAGCCTCTTTGTTTATGTACTGATTACTCCGATTATTACTCTCTGTAATCATCACTTTAACCTGATTCTACTCCTGGTCTCAATTTATTTTGCATCATCCCCCCTACTGTACATGATCTTCAGCACCATTTAATCAATAACTCTTCAAATATGCTCGTTTTAAGGGAGCCTTTGTCACTATACATTTTTACTTAGCAAAATTTCGTTTGCAATCTTTCATTTGCAGTTATTTGAACTTTTAGTGTCTTATCTTCCTTCTTTCCTTTCCTGCAAATGTTTATCAACAGATTTTTCTACTTCTGGCTCTCATATTTGTTGTCTTTTATTTTTTTTATTTGAAAGGCAGAGTTATAGAGAGAGAAAGAAAGAGAAATTTTTCAGTCATTGGTTCACTTCACAGGTGGATATAATGGCCAGGGACGGACCAAGCTAAAGCCAGGATTCCAAAATCCCCTCCGTTCACATGCTAGGGCACAAGGATTTGGGCCTTCGGCTTCTTTGCCAAGCACAATTTCGGGGAGCTGAATGGGAAATGGAGCAGCCTGGGCTGGAACTAGAGCCCAGCTTGGATGTCAGCATTGCAGCGTATGGCTTTCCCAGCTGTAGTACAACACCATGGCCTTCTCCTTTCATTTTGATCTGTGTGTCCCTTTGCCATATTAATACTGTTTTTGCAAAAGTGTCTTTTTCTGGGGGATATATCAAGCTAATCCTTCATCTGCAGCGTCAGCAACCTAAACAGGAGCTTCTTCTGGATCTCCCACTTGGGTGCAGGGTCTCCAGGCTGTGGGCCATCCTCTACTGCTTTCCCGTATCAGTCAGGGAGCTGGATGAGAAGTGGAGCAGCCAGGATACGAACCAGTGCTCAAATGGGATCCTGGCAGATGCAAGGCAAGAACTGCACCAAACTCTAGGCATCACTTTTTTAAAAAAAGAAAATTAACCTGACCATGGTATTTATTTGTTAAAGTTGCAAGTTACTGTTTTCTTACTATTAACATTTGTATTTCACTGCATGATAGGATTCTATAACAAAATGTTTATGACGAAATAGCAGTACATGCAATGATGATATAAAGAAAGTACTTATGTCACTTGGGTAGATCTGCAGAAAACTTTGCAATGTCTAATTCATTTGGTTTGTTTGTATTTGTCTTCTAGTTCATCATTCTTGTGGTGGATAGCATTGACAGGGAACGGCTAGCTATTACAAAAGAAGAATTATACAGAATGTTGGCTCATGAGGTACATTTTAAAAGTGAATCTTAGCAAAATACTATGCATTGCTTTTTTTTTTTTTACAAAGATGGGTGTGATGTTGACTTTCTCATTATTAGCAAAACTTCATATGTAAATATTACATTGAAAGTCTTACAGATAGAATTTCAAACATTAATTTGTAAACCACTCCTGTTACTGCAGATTTTTTTTCAAAGTTAACGCTGCTTATGCCTGCCTTAACAACTTTATAAACAGAGTAAGAAAAGAGAAAACTCTGTAATATGTAACACATCTAGTTTTAGTTCATTTCTTGTAACTATAGTGTTCTACTGTAATATACCACCTTTAGTCTCTGCTGTTAATGACCACATAGTTTATTTCCAACGTTTGTATAATGTTGAAAATGTAACATAGAATGTTAATCCATATGCCTAAGTTATACAAATATTCATATTTATTCAAATAGTAAATATTACCCAGCATTCACTTGCACTATTGCAGTTCACGTTTTGGAGACACTCTTGTAGTTGGCAGCATACCATTGTATTTTCTCGACTGGAATGTTGCTTGTATAACTTGAAGTCAGTATTTAAATTCCAGGTTTATTTTCTTTTTGGCTTGACCCTTTTGGCCTAGAAATAGGATTATAACTGTGTGGTTTATGCTTAAATTTGTTAGAGTGAATCATTAAATCAAGGTTATGTGATGTTATTTTGTAACTGTGCAACTGGGTATATTTTATCCTGCTGCTTCATTAGTTTATTTTGATTTGTGATATTTTAATTACCAGAAACACTGTGTTAATTGCAGGATTTAAGGAAGGCTGCAGTCCTTATCTTTGCAAATAAACAGGATATGAAAGGATGCATGACGGCGGCTGAAATCTCTAAATACCTCACCCTGAGTTCGATTAAGGATCATCCGTGGCATATCCAGTCCTGTTGTGCATTAACAGGGGAGGGGTGAGTACTCATCTGAGAGGGACTGAGATTTCCTTCAGATTTTGCCAACTTTTTTGGCCAATTTGCTTATTGCTTGGATCCCATTCCTTTTGTTGTTACTGTTCTTAAAGATGCATTGGGTATTGTGTATAACTCTTACTGTTTTATTTGGTCTATATACATGAAAGGCAAATTGGGGTTGTAGGGGCGATCTCCCATCTACTGATTCATCACTTAGCCAGAGTCTGGGTTCCTCCTGTGGGTGACAGGAGCCCTCTCAGGGTGCACATCAGCAGAAGCTGAGACTGAAGAGCACAGCAAGGCATTCCAGTATAGGATGTAGGGGTCACTGGTTACATAGTAACCAGAATGTCAAACAACCCCTTCCCTACTATGACATCCTGCCCCATCCGAAACAATTTAATACGAGTGTAATGCTTTATTTTTAAAAATACCATAATATACCTCTGAATTAAATTTTTATAATCAGACATTTTAGTTCCTTATTAATTGCTTTTATTGTTTAGTAACTGAAAGGTATCTGTAATATAACCTGAATTAAACATTAAGCTTTAAAGAAATTTCACCTTTTTTTTTTTTTAAGATTATTAATTTTTGGCCTGGTATGATAGCCTAGTGGCTAAAGTCCTTTTCTAACGGGATGCACTGGGATCCCATATGGTACCAGTTTGAGTCCCAACTGCTCTACTTCCCTTCTAGCTCCCTGCCTGTGGCCTGGGAAAGCAGTCCAAGATGGCCCAAAGCCTTGGGACCCTGCACCCGTGTGGGAGACCCGGAAGAAGCTCCTGCCTCCTTTGGTTTCAGTATTGGTTCCGCTCTGACTGTTGCAACTACCTGGGGAGTGAACCAGCAGATGGAAGATCTTCCTCTTTGTCTCTCCTTTTCTCTTAAATCTGCCTTTGCAATAAAAATGAATAAATATTTTTTTAAAAAAGGGGAGGTGCACAAGCAGGGAGCTGAATGGAAGTCCAGCAGCCAGTACATGAATCAATGCCCAGGTGGGATCCTGGTGCTTGAAAGTATAGGATTAGCAACTTGGCCATTTCATATTTTCTTCAGAAACTTAGGCCTAAGTTCCCAGGTTTCTTTTTTCCTATTTCTTTTACTTTTTTTTTTTTTTTTAATTGAAAAGGCGGATTTGTAGAGAAGGAAAGTGAGAAAGGTCTTCCATCCACTGGTTTACTCCTCATGATAGCTTCACCTGCTAGAACTGAGCTAATCCGAAGCCAGGAGTCAGGAGCTTCTTCTGGTTCCCCCATGTAGATGCATGGTCCTGAGCTTTGGGCCCTCTTCCACTGCTTTGCTAGGCTAGATGAAGTGGAACAGCCATGATCCAAACCCACATGAACAGGATCCCAGCACTTGCAAGGGAAGGATCAACCAATTGAGCCAATACACCAGGTCCAGCTCCCAGCTTTCTACAGGAGTAAATCTGCTTTATGTAGGAGTCCTTCCGTGGGCATACTCATAAAATAATAATGTTTGATATAGTTATCATTATGGTATTTTCTTCTTTTCCTACGAATTTCAGTGTACTTGTATTAGGGCAAGGAAAACTCAAAGTGTTTTGAATGGGTTAACTGGTTTAAAGCCAGGAACTTACTTATATTCAAATCAGCATTGTTAGTTTTTCTCATATTTAAAATGGGTTGCTGGGCCTGTTGTTCTGACACCTCTAGTGGCACCACTTGAAATGCTAGCATCCTGTATCTAAGTGCCAGTTCAGGTTGCTTCTACTCCACTTCTAGTCCAGCATCCTTCCAGTATTCCTGGGCAGGCAGCATTGTGTAAGGAACCCAGATGAAGTTCCTAGCTTCACCCTATCCCAGTCCTAGCAGTTACAGGCATTTGGGAAGTGAACCAGTGGATGGAACGTCTCTGGCTCTCACTGTCACTGATTTTCAAACAAATAAATAAAATATTTAAAAACAAAAACAAGCACTTACAACATAAAAGTATTTGTAGACCTTTTTGGCTTGTACTGGGCCATAAGTATTTCATTCTTTAAGATGTAGAGGGCAAGGTGAAGTTCCTACTGTCTTTCTCTGTCACTTTCAATTTTGGTTCATTTTAAAGGATTGAAACTGGCAGGGTTCATATTTGCAGTCTTCAAAATGATGCTAAAAATTTTATATTAACTTGTCTGATTAAGATGATTTTAAATGAACCTTCCATTTTACTGGAAGTGATAATTGAATATTATCACTGAAGTGTGTACATAAAGATTATAGCGTCAACTTTTGGGTAACAGTGTGCTTTCAATTAATAAGCATTAAAATTTTAATTTTGTACGTGTTTCTGTCTTGTTCAGATTATGTCAAGGTCTGGAGTGGATGACTTCCCGGATCGGTGTGAGATAACTTTTCTGCTTCAAAGAGACTGCTCTATTTATTCTGTGACATGAACATTTTTTCCTAGTACCTTTGGCTGCTAAGGCAGCAGCATGTTTAATTTATAACAACACAAACCTCTATGAGCAACACTTGAATCAAGTGCAGCTGAACTGGACATAAAAGATGTTTTTCTTAACTTTTTTTTTTTTTAAATGCACTAATATTCAGTTGGATAAGTGTTAACTCTGTTTTCTGCAATGGAATTCTGACTGCTTATTCTAATTACTCAATGTCTGCCTTGTAAGAAACGTTTGTCATATGTTTAACATTTTCTGAAATATTGTTACAGCTTTAATGACCAATATCTTTAAATTCTTGACCACCACTCCCTCCTAATGAGATAATTACTGGTTTCACAGAAAAATAGTGCAGATCATCGTGTACCACTTGCAAACTGCTCCGGCACTAATTATTTGCTCACTGTATAAAACATGTATCTTTTGGGCAGAATTTATTAAAAGAAATTTGCCTAGAAGGTATTTGTAGGGAAGATATAAACATCATGAGTACTTGCTTCCAAATTTCCCCCACACTACTGGAAGTCATGAAATAATTTTAAGTTGCTATTACCCTGCAAATTAAGTAAGCTATTTTTTAATCTAAAGGAATGAAGTTCACCTTTATGCTTATAACATTTGGTCAGAAATGAATCAAAGTAAAATATTTATTTGAAAGCCCAGCTTTAACGATAAATATTGGGTATATCTGATATTTTAAGATTATATTACTCAATGCATATGTTACTACCAGAAATTATTAATACCAGCACTAAAATTAGAATGTTACACTTAGAGTATATTTTACTATCAATCTACATTCAATTTTATTATCAGCAAATGTTTCAGCTATTTTACTTACGTAGGAGATCACATCTGCTTTGGACCCTAACTAAAGCAGAAGTATCAGCAGTCCGTTTGATTTCTTAAAATTTGAAATAGGATCTGTCAGCATTTCTGCCACCAGCAGTATAAACTTCAGTCTGCTTGAGGATGTTGTCCTTGACCGTAGACTTGAAACAGTTGCCATCTTTGTACTTATACCTTTGCCTCAAAATTTTATAGGAAACTGCTGAGTTTCATCCTAGCTTTTATAATATGAGGCTGTCATTTAATTTTGTTTAAGATTTACAAATTAAGAGACAATTGAAATGAAGGAGAAATCCTATTATCTACTAAAATTTTATTGATTGGACAGTAATAAGTTGTCTAATATGAAAGATAATCTCAGCACAGTGTACTTGAAATTAAGATGGAGGATAACTTATAATTTCAATTCTCTTTATCTAAATTGTGTGATTTGATTTAATGAAGGGGGTAAAAATGCATCCTTTAAGAAAACAGTACTTCATTTTTGTAATATTCCCTAGAATCAAAAATAACATTGTGTTCATAAAAAAAATCAAGACACCTGTTCAAATGTGGTATTTTAATTTTCTTCTTCTTTTTGAGTGTTGATTTAAATTGTACTCATTTCTCAGGTTACGTGATTTATTATATTTAGTTGAATTAATCTAGTTGAAGTGAATCTGCTCAGTGATAGCATATGAAAAATGGCCAGAGGAAAATTTTCTAGGCTTTGGGAAATATTGTTTTGCTTTGAATCTTTTTCCTACTTATTCTTCTTTTCCAAGTATATAGTGTAAGTTTAATTTAGTTTAGTTTTTAATATCGCCCATAAGCAAGAACATGAGACAAAAGAAGATACAAATCAATTTGATTGCTTTGTGGTGTATAAAAGTGGGGGAAGATGCCATAGGAAATAGGAAAATTCACTTAACTAAAGCACACTTTGCCTGAAGTTTTGTTTATTGTAAGGACTGAGGATAATTCTCATAAGCTATCTGGAAAAAAGCATATTTAGTGTTCCAGTGTTCATTATTATAAAGTCTGTATCTGCTTTCTTGTAGCTAGTAAGATTGGCTGGCTCAGTTTTCTTCTATCAAAATGTTATGTTTATTAATTTTTTTGTATTACCACATCAGCATTATATTGGAAATGTTTTTTAATAGCTGATTGTAGTTTCTGAAAAACCCAGTGTATACTCATACTTGATATTTAATTTTTAAAATACAATTTATTTTCAAAAAAAATGGTGTTAGTTTTGGATTAGAGTGATTTATGTTAGCCTTTTGTTGAAAGTGAAATCGACATCCAGGTGAACTTTGTGCCAATGAGTGGGGAGCATTTGATTAAGACATTTAAAAAGTATTTTACAGGTTTTCTTTTATTATTATTATTATTATTTTATTATTATTTTTTTACTTTACAGGTTTTCATTACCTCTTTCTTGTTATAGTAGTAAGAAAACTAAGCTTTTTACTCCAAGGGGATATTTGGACCCAAGTCAGTATCTAATACTAAAATATTGATTCTGACATTCATTGTAAATCAACCAACAGTAAGGTACTGTCTAATGAAAAAGAAATTTATGATTAGTACCTTTTCTTGTTTTTTTGACATACATTTTCAGTTCTAAAGTGTATCTGTTATTCACAGTCATTTTGGCAGCCAGATAGATCACAATGGGATAATTTGGGTTTCACCTCCTTGTTTTGGCTCTTCATACTACATAGTGCAGCTTCTGCTAGGTTGACAAGTGAGGTATCCAGGAGATTATTTTACAGTTTTGTTTTAATTCAAGAGTAAGGGAATTAAATGTAAAATTTCCTTTGTAAGTTCAAATGCAGCATTTTCTTAACATAAAATTTACTATATTCTTCATTCTTATTGAGAACATTTTTTTTTAAAAGATTTTTTTTTTTTTTTTGGTATTGGAAAGGCAGATTTACAGAGAGAAAGATCTTCCATCTACTGGTTCACTCCCCAAGTGGTCACAGTGGCCAGGGGTGAGCTGATCCCAAACCAGGAGCTTCTTCCTGGTCTCCCACATAGGTGCAGGGTCTCAAGGCTTTGGGCCATCATGTGCTGCTTTCCCAAGCCACAAGCAGAGGGCTGGGTGGGAAATGCATCAACCAGAGTGTGAACTGGCACCCCTAATGGATCTAGTCAGGTGCAAGGAGAGGATTGTCACTAGGCTAAAGTTCCAAGCCCCCATTTGAGAACTTTTTTACAGGCCCTTTTATCAATGAATATGACTTTTTTTTTTATTGCTAATGTAATTTAAGCCCTGAAAAACTGCAATGTTAATATATATAACCCATTGAAAACAGATACTACATATGTAATTTTTGCTTTTACCTTCTTCTGTTAGTATGCTTAGAGATTGAATTACTTTGAATTTATATCCATTAGAGGAAAAATGTGTTGAAAGTAATTTTTTAAATGGGTACCATCCCACCGGCCATAATTTTGATTCACCGTTATTTAACTTTAATTATCTGTAACATAAAAAGAAAGTAATCGTTTCCCTAGGCCAACAGTGTTAGTGACAGTACTGTAATAAAAACCTTTTTTTGGTAGAGTATGTTAAGGCAAATTATACACAAATTTGTTTATGAATAGCATTTGATCCTTAATTGTGTAAAACGTTTCTAGAAAATCCTACTGGTATTAGACCTGTGGATGTATAAATTTTACTGGTATTTATCTAAGACTATTTGAATCTTCATCTTAGGTTTTGGATCCTAAAATCTCCCCCTCTAATTCAATTCTAAAAGAACATTTACCTTTTGTCAGGAAAAATCAGTTCAGGCTTCAACATAGTATCCTGTAGTTGGATATTGTGTTCAAATCTTAATTTGACTATTTATCATTTAACTAGTTGACCTAATAAAAATCTTTATGGCCTTTGTTTTGTTTTTTTCATATTCAAGAGGTTAAACAATCTAGAGCTCTAATAAGTCTTTGGTTTTAAAATTCTGAGTCCTCACTTGCAACGATCAAAATGGTAAAATTCCGAAATATTACAGAAACATACATAATATGAAATCAAACACATTTCTATTATTTGATACCAAACACGATTGATCCATTACCACATAAATATCAAAAAAGTAAAAAATGATGTCAGTTGTTAACTATTATACAACTTAAGGTGAACTGATAGCTAAGAACAATGCCAAAGAAAAGATAAGCCATATTGTTAAGGGACTGGTGAGCTGCCTGTAAGACACTATGCTGGGATACTTTCTTCTAGAGAATGTTTTCGTTTTCTTGGCTTTAGAAATTAGATAAAAATAGTTTGTTCAGAAATGATAGCCTTTCTCAGTGTTTAAACATTTATGTATTTATTTGAAAGGCCTGGTTGCAGAGAGAGAAGAGAGACAAAGAGATCACACTGCTTATTCACTCTCCAGATGACTGTAACAGGCTACATTGGATCCAGGCTGAAGCTAGGAGTTAAAAACTTCTTGTAGGTCTTCCACATGTAGCAGAGGCCCAAACACTCTGACCATCTTTCCGTGGTTTTCCTAAATCATTATCAGGGATCAGAAACCAAGTAGGAATATGGTTGGATTCAGGTGGCTTAAAGTCAGCTTTGAAGTTTATGGTTTGGGGCCCGGCACAATAGCGTAATGGTTAAGGTCCTCACCTTGAACGCACCGGGATCCCATATGAGTACCGGTTCTAATCCCGGCATCTCCACTTCCCATCCAGCTCCCTGCCTGCGGCCTGGGAAAGCAGTCCTTTATAGCATCAGAAAAGCAGCAGCAAGCCTTGTATTGAGTCAAGGGTCTCAGATTGTAAACCTAGTTCCAAATGTCTGTATTCATATTAATGTTCACTTCTTAAGATTTTAATCTGAATGGTTGATTGTGTGTCAACCTTCAGGCTTTCCAATGCCATCTGACATTGTCTTAGTTAATGAACATGGCCAACCAGAACACAGAATTAATAAGGTCAGGATTATGAATTGGATCTCACTGTTACTCCTTGCTATTGTAGAGGGAAAGAAAAATGTCTTTGTCACCACAAAATGCTTTTGAATCCCAGCCAAGCAACCAAAATTTATGGTACTGGCTTGATTGAGTGCAATTTAAAAACAAACAAATTAGTGCATTCACATCATCTCTTAAAAGCATGTTCTTCTAATGGTGGCTTTGCTTTAAAATATATCATATTAACTTCTAAGACTTCAGGACTATCAAGGAGTAATTTCTTTTATATGTTGTGTTTAGGTTGCTGGTTCTATCGGGTTTTTATTTCTGCAATTATGTTTTAATGGGTTGCTTGCATGCCTGCTTACCCAAGTAAAAAGGATGCTCTTGGCTCTGGAATGTTTATTTTTTTAGACAGGTTTTGGCTCATTTGCAATCATGGTGCAATATAGTGTAACATTTGTTCTCAGTCAACAG